TGCAAATTGTACGGCCCCAGAAATTTAAAATGAAATATGTGTATTAAAAATGTCAAATGCGGAAGCGTAATAAAAATTTTGATTAACATCCCTTACACTAAAACCAACAACGTGCTCAAAGTATAAAAGAACAAACTAACTAAAAGAGATACTCGAAAATAAGACTATAAATATAACTACGGAGTCCTTACGCGTCCCCTTCACCGTCTTCCTACGGAACGAGCTCGGGAACAACGTCTTCCTGATCTGAAATAGTTAAATAAGGAGTGAGCTACACCAACCCAATAAAGACATCACACTATCTCACCGCCACGGAAGCAAAGGTGGGTAGAAAACACAAAAGACCAATGGAGCATGATTTATAATAAACTCGTTTATTAACATAAAAACCTTTACTGTCCACTTACCTCGGTGAGGTTCATAAAACAACATATGAGAGCAATAACATTATCATCATCATGAAATCATATGAACTGTATAACAAAATACTTACCACGCCTTTGCATCTCAATCATTAAACAATACATTTTCCTCATTTACCAGCCTACTAGTATCCATGGGGATCCATAGGGGTCCCGCTATCCGTGAACCCTTAACATTTATAACCTGATTCCAGAGCCGTCCCCATACCCCATCCGGTATGGGCGCCAAAACCATGAACCTCAATACCCCGTCCGGTATGAGGGTGAAACGGGCCGTCCCCATACCCCGTCTGGTATGGGCGCCAAAACACAGAAGGTCTCCATACCCCGTCCGGTATGAGAGACCACGTTCCCGGTAGGGTTCCCTATGGACCCGGTCCGTCCACCATCTCCCAGGATATCTAGTCAGGCTGTCCACATTATCCATTATCAATTCACGTAACCTTTTATTCCTTTTTTCCTCAGTCACCATCATCAAATCACACACAAACATGCAAACCAGTAGTTTATGCCAAACAAGACAACACAGTACATCGGGTTCTCAGTCATTCAGCCCATAATCAATAGAACAGTGATATATGCACACGAAACTATGAAATGAAAACATCGGACATCATACTGCATTCAAAACTGTAAAATAGAACAAACAACAATTGACCGACAAATACACCAGACTCGGGCTCCATTAGCGACCTTAAACAATTTCACACATCTATTGATTCATGAAATACCGTTTTATCATTTATTGAACTTTAATACCGTGATAGGAAATAGGGTGAGGGGTCCTTACTTGTTTCGGGGTCTGAATACGGCTCTACAGTGCGCCTACAGGCTGTCCCTAATTTTCCCTGAATTTTTTTCCGGGGAGCTGAAACGCACTACTAGTACCTGTACGTGTCCCAAAAAATCCCAAATTAGACCTAGGGCCCCTTTCGGCCAATATCGCAATTCCGGCACGGCGGCTCCGCCGTGCTCCGGCGACGGCGCTGCCGTTTGCGGCGGCGATTCGCCTCAAGTTGGCCATTTTCGGCCGAATTCGGCCACGCTTGCATCAGTTCCTACGATAGAACAACCTTAGGGCCCTCGGTGGGCCGAAAAATCACGAAAAACTGAAACTTACCGGCGGTGGTGCTCTCGGGTGCGGCAGCTCCTCCGGCGTGAGTTGCATTTTGATGTTTGGCTCTGATCAACCTGTAGAGAAAAGAACGGTGATCACAGTGGTATAAAATTTGCATCAAACAGAGGTCGGGAAGGGCCTCATCGGAGGCAAAAATCGAGGAGGGACGCGGCAGCACCGCTGGGTTTCGGCTGAGTTTTTCGGCCGTTTGGCCGGTGGTTTGGCTCCGGTTTGGCCATAGGCGGACTCAGCGTCGAAAAACGAGCAAGGGGGAGAAACATTACCTCGATCGGCGGTCGGAAACTTCCCCGGTGCGGCGGCGGGTGGCGGCGGTCAGCTCCTCCGGCATCTGGTTCTTCTTCTCCGGCGAGCATTGGCGGCTAGGGTTTCTTTGGTCAGGTGTGGGTGGGGGTATTTATACCCTTTGCCTTTTAATCTTGACCGGCCATCAAGATTGAATCTGGGCCGTTCGATCGCAATTTAATTGGGATTAAATCTGGGCCGTCCGTGCCTGATTGAATCTGGGCCGTCCGTGCGCGTGAATCTGGGCCGTCCGTGCGCGTGGGAATGGATCTGGGTCGTTCGATCGCACGCACGCGGATTGCCCCCGTGGCCCGTCCCCTGGTCAGCGTGTCCTTTCCACGCGACGCGTTCTGGTTGGTCGGGGCTGCTGACCGGGCCGCTGACGTGGCTGCTGACGTGGTGCTGATGTGGCACAACTTTTTTAAATTACATTTTGACCCCCGGTTTCCGATTTTCTTTTCAAAAATACCCCCAGAATCCAAAATTTCACCCCTTTTTTCCAAAATCAATTTCAATTAAATCCAAATAATATTTTTACCCAATTTTATCATTATAATTATTTTTATTTTCATTGAATTAAATTAAATTAAATTAAATAAATACCCAAATAAATAATTAATTAATTAAAAAATAAAAATAAATAAATAAAATATTTATTATATATATAAACTGATAAGGTCAAAAACCAGTAAACATCTGCTGCGCCATCTCTCTTCCAGAATCAAATTCTAACACGCTTATTTTCTTCCATCACATCTTCTCTGTCACCACTTCTCGACGGAAAACAAAAAATCATGCCTTCTTCACTCTCTCCAGCACCATGCCAGCAATCGCAATACATCGAAACTCTCTTAGACTCTGCACGTCCCTTCCTTCGCGGCGAGCTCCACAAGGTCGATGACAACCTGCCTTCTCTTGTCGCTCTTTTGCGCTCTGTTGGTGCGGGTGAGTGCTGGCACAAGCATGGCAGTTTTCTGGACCATCTGGTTGACATTTACCGCATTCTTAAGATATGGAATGCACCGGATTCTGTCTGTCTTTGCGGTCTCTTTCACTCTGCCTACTCCAACTCTTATGTAAACCTCGCTATCTTCGATCCTTCTACGGGTCGAGATGTTGTCAAAAGTTATGTTGGTGAGGCCGCTGAGCGTTTGATTCACTTGTTTTGTATTGTCCCAAGGCAGTCTTTGATCCATGACGATCTTCTCTTCACATATTCTGATACCGAGCTTCTCGACCACCTCCGGTTTTCGGAGATTTCATTGAAGAATGCGAGGGAGAAGGGATTCTTCGACAAAGAAGAAGTTTGGAGGAAGAAATTGACTTCAATTTTACCTGAAACTGGGATTGTAGTGAAGCATATAAAGACTGGAGAAGATGTTCTGGTCACGAGAAGGATGGTTGCCGTTTTCCTTTTGATGACCGTAGCTGATTTCAGTGACCAATTATTTGGTTTTCAAGATATACTGTTCGATAACTTCGATGGGCGGCTTGAATTTTCAGGGAACAATCATGTCGCTCTGTGGCCTGGAGATGGAAAGCCTGGGCTGTGGATGAATTCAATATCCAGGATGGGGGCGATTTACAGTTTGATAGTTAGGGAGGAAGAGATTTTAATTGAAGAGAGGAGATGGGTTGGTGATGTTGAGGTGAGAAAGGAGAGAGATGAGGAGATAAACCTTGTGGTACCTCCAGTTTTTGAGTTCTGCACTAGGGTTTTGGATGCAAAGGAGCAGATAGAGGCAAGGGACTTGTATTGGGAAGGTGTTTGTGATATTATGTCTAAGAGAGGGTTGGAAGGAGCCGAGGATTTGTTGATGAGGTGTATTGAGAAAAACCCATTTGTTGGAGAGCCGCATGTGGTGCTGGGTCAAGTTTATTTATCACAAGGAAAATTTGAAGAGGCTCAGAAAGAGGCCGAGAAGGGGTTGACCCTGTTGTTGGAGTGGGGTAGTCCTTGGGACAAGAGGATGTCGTGGGAAGGGTGGATTGCTTGGTCTAGGGTTCTTTTGATGAAAGCTAAAGAGAAATCATGGCCACAAACTTCTTGGGGGATCCTAAACTTAGGCCTTGTTAGGTAAAATACTTCATAGCTACTCATTCTAGTTTTCTTTTGGTATGTTCTGCAAATGGTCTACTCTTATATATTAAGTAAAACGCATAAAGTGCAGTATATATTCATCTTGGATGTTGCAGGAGACTTCTCTTGATGTCCTTGTTTGTTTGTCCAATATAGTTGAACAAAAATATGTATAACAGTCTTATTATTGCTTTTTTTGGATGCTACAATTGCAGAACACAATTTCTTCATTCATTAAAATCCATTAAGAGCTGAACTTGATTAATTAAGAGATGGCTAATATCATTACTAGGTTTGTATTAGTGATGGGCTTAACCTCTCTTATTTCTGTAAGTCCTCAAAAATCTTGCAAAAGCATCCTCTCTGGATGGTTAGGAGTTTCTAGATCTTCAGTTTTGGCAGTCATTCATTTGATATATTTCTTGCATTTGTTTAAACGTTAATTTTAGATCTTTAATATGAAGACTAATAGAGGAACCAAGTATATGGTCTAATTCATTGCTTCCTCTTCTTTGCTGTACATTTGGAATAATTTAAACAGAAGACCTGGTTAACCTTGCATCAGGAAAGCTTTGAAGACATGTAGTCTGTTCTTATACAGTGTATAGAGATTGAGGGCTTGCCATGGTTCTTTTTTATTAGCTTGCCAGATCAAATGTGCAATTCTGAGGTGAAGGAAGGTAGCAATACATGGGTATTACATGTAGTCTGTTCTTATACAGTGTATAGAGATTGAGGGCTTGCCATGGTTCTTTTTTATTAGCTTGCCAGATCAAATGTGCAATTCTTAGGTGAAGGAAGGTAGCAATACATGGGTATTGCTTAAAAAAGCAAGAAAATATGCAGCCTTTGGTCCAATGAAATAAACAAGGAGTCTGTTAAGGGTCCTCAGACAGTAGCCTGTCCAGTAATTTGTGTGATGTGATCTAAGAAAGCAACATCTAATACTTCTTTCCCTCTCTGCAATAGAGCATCAAGAACAAATTTATGAGTGCTTAATTCATTGTTCGCTCATCTTTTACTCTTTAATTGAAAGCTTCTCCACTTGAATTGGAGCTATATCTAAAGATCTGTGTATATTTTTGGTTGTCTGACCTCTGGTTGCAAGTATTTTACGTGCAGCTTCCTTAGTTGCATGATCTATGTCGTATTGTCACTTGCTCGAATTTACAGTTTATGCAGAGATTCAACTAACTACTGCTTCCATTAGAAGATGCCCTTCTGAAAGAATTATAAAGCATTTATAGGCCTTTTGTTTAATAATTTTCATACATCCTAGTAATCCGGAAGAAACAACCAAGTATATCCTGGATCTCCCGATGCAAACTGCAGCATAGTGAACTTCGTCACTGTTAGGAAAAAGAAACTAGTCATAAACATATTAGGCACCTTGTTTCATTGCACTACTTAATGAAACAGTTTTATTTAA